CCTGAGGCCAAAGATTTCTCACCTGTAGAATTGGAGTAATCCCTGAGCGATGCATGTGAGGATCAAAATAGGGCAGTGTGTAAGTGTCACTGTTGTAGAGGGAGTGGTGCCTTTCCACAAGCAACCAATGGCGGTGGCTAGTTCTCCATGAGGGAGCTTTTCTTGCCAAAGATGGGAAGGTCTGCTGCTTTTGTTAATATTTTTGTAGTTAGTTTTTCCTAAAGTAACTTAATTACCTCCTGAAAAAAGGCATTTGTCAATGATGGAAACTTTCAGATTTAAATAGGTGAATTTATAGTTTGAAAGAGCTGACCATTTTGAAGACTAAAGTCAGAAAGACTGAAAAGCTATTATTAATAAGAACCATGTAGGCAGAAAAATTGAAGATTTTATGAGACTGAAAAATACTTAGCTTTGTTTATTGGGAATAATTTATAAACTTTAAGAAAACAAACTTTTGTATATTGGATATAAAGTTTTAAAAATTTAGAGTCAGCTATGGTGGTGTGTGCCTATAGTCCTAGCTACTTAGGAGGCAGGAGGATCTCTTGAGCCCAGGAGTTCCAAGTATAAGCTGGGCAACATAGCAAGACCCCATCTCTAAAAAGAAATAAAATCTGTAAATCATAACGTTTGTATTTATACACCCAAAGTTACTAGGTACTACGTATATAGTTCTGGTTATAAAAGATGACATAATCTCATTCACTGTTTTTCAAGTTATGTGATATAAGAGCCATAAGGGTTAATAGGCTCCTATTTGAGAAAATTATTATAAGGAATAGGTGTGTAGAGCAAGGAGAGGGGAATAGGGGAGCAATTAGTTTGTTTACACAATAAATTTTTAATAGTGAAAATGAAATTTTCTACAATCTTCCTTTAAGGCCCTGAGCTGATGGGCGTTGGCTCCTTGCTGAAGAAGTACACAGCCCTCCTGTGCACACACATTGGTGATATACTGCCTGTGGCAGCTAGTGTCGCTTCCACCAGCTGGCGGCACTTTGCAGAAGTGGCCTGCATCTTGGAAGGAGACTTCACAGGTACCTTTCTTGTTTCCTGCCTGTGGGCTTATGTTTATTTCAGGAGATTGATGAAAGCTGAAATGTATCCTTTCCTAATAAAACTGCATTTACTGTATAAATTTTCTAGTCCTCCTGCCTTTTCTCCTTTGGTTTTGTTAGTTACTAGCAATTCTGTGTGTCACCTGGTATGAGACTCATATCACTGTAAATACAATTGGTGATTTAGATTTATATCTCCATTATTAATACCTCAATAATGAGATCAAGTGTAATTGTCTAATTTTATTTTGATGGCATAAAAATTAGTTACCCCTTTCAGGACCTTAATAAATTCCAATGTTCCCTAATATTTTTTAAAGTTAATTTATTGAGGTTAGAGCATTATTTTTAAGTGCTTTTTTCTGATGGTAAACATTATAGTAGTAGACATTTAGTTTCTGAATAAAAGACTACAGTTCATAGTTCTATGTTTGAAGCATAGTATTTTTGGAAAATATTTCTGTAACTCAAAAGGGTTTTGTTTGATAGGTATACCTCTTTCAGAATAAAAGAAAATAATCCTCTAGAGATATGCTAATGGACAAACATTCCTTATTTTGTAACTTATCAGAATTTAAACATAGAGGAAAGTTATAAATTGCTTTGGTAGCATAAACACTTTTATTTAAATCTTATTTTTTTTTTCTTTTTAAATCTAGGTATTCTCCTTCCAGAACTAGTAGTTTCTATAGTGCTTCTGCTTAGTAAAAATGCTGGTCTTATGCAAGAAGCTGGAGCTGTTCCTCTTCTGGGCGGCCTGTTAGAACATCTGGACCGATTCAACCACCTTGCACCAGGAAAGGAACGGGATGATCATGAAGAGTTAGCCTGGCCTGGCATAATGGGTATGGCATCTTAACTTAAAGGACTTTTATGGAGGAAAGTTTTGTCCTTGTCTAACCTATTCTTGCCTTTCCATTTGAAAGAACATTTTAAAGAAGGAAGACCAATTATTTGCCATTTCCATTTGGTAGTAGTATAAGTGGAAAATGAAGATAATCCAATTCAGGAGATAATTGGATTATATTTAAGAGAGATTTTTCCTTTAGTAATTGTTAAATCCTGAAATGCACATTTTGGAAAGTTCTGGAAAACCCTTTCCTGGGAGGTACTTCCAGAAGATACTGTTGAGGTGGTTATATATATAGTCAGCTCAGGAGGCAGAAATTGATATGGGAAGACTTTCCAAAGTCATCTTTGTTATTTGATGTTAATGAGATAGGGAACTCCTGGATTTAGCTAAGCACCCCCCTATAGGCACTGTCTGTAATGCATACCAAATTGAAATGAAACTTACTTTCTCAAAATTTTGAACTTGGACATTTTTGAATCAAAGTCACCATCATGTCTGATTCTGGTTTTCTGGACTCAGAATTAATCAAAGTAGTGGTTAAACTTTTATTTTATATGAAAACTTTAGCTAGGTGGGCTTTTTCTTTTTCTCCCATTTTAGACCATCATTTTTATAACATGGAAGCTTAAAAGTAGAGGTAGCAGTTGTCTTGAGGAAAATAGTCTTAGGATATTTAACATAGTTTAAAATTTTTTAATAGTTAATAGTTTTGGTACCCTTCCTACCTTTTTGTTCAGGAATGAACTTAAATGGTTATTTATTATTTTTGTCTCTATATTAAATATGGTTGAGGGCATTAATTGGATTAGCAGTTTACTTATTTTAAAGTCCTTTTTTAATTGTGAAATATAACACATACACAAAAGTACCCAATGCATCTTTGTGATTGATCCTAGAGAAAACTGGGTTTTCCATCTAGACTAAGAAATGGATCTTGGTAGGACCCTCCCAAAACACTGCCTCTATCCTCTGAAAAGTCCCCCTCTTTAGGCTGTGTGGTTGTCCCACCTACTTCTCTTGGTCATGTTATATACTAAGCAAGTGTCTCTAAACAACCATAGAAGTGGAATTTTGCAGTATGTACCCATTGGTGATTGGTATCTGGCTTCTTCGCTTCAATGTTAGGTTTCTGAGGGTCATACTGTGACTGAGTTCTTTCATTTTTGTTGCCATGTATGTAGTAATCACTGTTTGAATATGCCACAATTTATTCATTCTGTTTTTGGTGGAAATACAGGTTGTTTCCAGCTTTAGATTAGAGTAAATACATGGCTTTAAACATTCTTAAGTCTGTTTCTTGGTGGAATTGTTGAGGATGCTTTAATACAGAATGCCAGTTTTCCACAATGAGTCTGCTGTTCATCTCCATGACAAAGTGAGAATTCTCAATGGTCCACACCAAGGCCCTGCATTATTAGTACTTCCTGTTTTTTTGTTTTTTTTTTGAGACAGAGTCTCGCTTTGTTGCCCAGGCTAGAGTGAGTGCCGTGGCATCAGCCTAGCTCACAGCAACCTCGAACTCCTGGGCTCAACCTCAAACTCCTGGCAATCCTTCTGCTTCAGCCTCCCGAGTAGCTGGGACTACAGGCATGCGCCACCGTGCCCGGCTAATTTTATATATATATATTAGTTGGCCAATTAATTTCTTTCTATTTATAGTAGAGACAGGGTCTTGCTCTTGCTCAGGCTGGTTTCAAACTTCTGACCTCAAGCAATCCACCTGCCTTGGCCTCCCAGAGTGCTAGGATTACAGGCGTGAGCCACACCTAGAAGTACAGGCGCCCGGCCTGTACTTCCTTTTTTAGCATTCTCACGGATGTACAGTGGTATCTCAGTGTGGTTTCAATGAGCATTTTCTTGATTATTAGTGAGGTTTAATCCCTTTTCATATGTGTGTTTAAGCATTTGGCTATTCTGTTTTGTGAAATGCCAGTTCAAGTCTTATACCCATTTTTCTATTGGTTGTATTTTTCTTTTTTAATGATTCATAGGAATGTTATTGTATATTTGGGGTATAAGCCTTCAGCTCTATTTCTTGTAGAGATTTTTCTCTTATTCTGGCCTGTAGAGTCTCTAAATATAGTTTTATGATGAACAGAAGTTAATATTAATGAAATCTATTTTGTTAACCTATTTATAGTTGTTCCTTTTGTGCCTTAAAAAATCTTTTCCCTACTCAAATTTTCTTCCGTATATATTTCATTAGTTTTATTGTATTAACTTTCACATTTAACGCTATAGTACACTTGCACTTGATTTTTGTGTATTTTATGAGGTCACATGTCATTTTTTCCCATAGGTAGTTTGTCCATAGAGTCCTTGTGCTAGCACCTTTTGGTGAAAGGACTGTCCTTGGTCACTCTTTTGAGTGCTGCCTTTGTGTACATCAATTGTCTGTACCAGTGTCTGTCCTGGTCGTAACAGCGTTTTTCCTCTTATTGCACTTGCTAGGACCTTTAGTGCATATTTTTGTCTTTTTCCTAGTAGCAGAGGAAAAGCTTTTCAGATTTCACACATGAAGGGTGATGTTTGTTGTAGGATTCTCTTTGTAGGTATTTCTGAGTATTAAGGATGTTTCCTTCTATTTCTGCTTTGTGATGTGGTTTCAATTATGATTTGGTGTTTAATTTTATCAAATAATATTTCTGCATTTCTTTATGACATATAATTTTTCTTTTTTTCCATTAATGTGTGAATTATTCACTTTTCAAATGATAAATCAGCCTTCAATTTGTAGAATAAAACTTCCTTGGTCATAATATATTGGTTATATTAATACATATTGCTGGGCTTGGTTTGCTACTTTTTTAAACAATTTTGTATTTGTTTTGGTCATTTTCCTTGTAATTTTTTCTATAACCTATAATTTTCTTTTCCTGTAATGCCCTACAAGTTGTTGATAACCACCACCCCTTTGCTAACAATGAGGCTGTAATTCAGGAAGAGGGTAGCTCCCATGCAACCTTTGTTAATTTCTATTTACAGTCTCCACGTGAGAATGTTAGCTAGTCTGGGGGGAAACTAGCTGATGGATTTGATAGTAAGAAACATAAGAGACATTCAGATTTTTGTTACCAAGGTTGTTCCAGTCCTGTAGAGTGAGTTGGACAATGTTCTTTCCTCTTGTTTTCTTGGGAGCATGTGTTTAAGATTGTTAGAATTTGCCATGTAATCATCTTGGCCTGTAGTTTTCATTTTGAACAATCTGGTGGACAGGGGTGGGGTAGAATGGGAACTCAACTTAAAAAAAAATTGTGGTGAAATATACATAACAAAATTTACCATTTTAACCATTTTTAAGTGTACATTTCAGGGGCCTTAAGTACATTCACGTTGTACAACCATCACCACCAGCATTAATCTCTAGAACTGTTTCATCTAGCCCAACTGAAACTCTATGCCCATTAAACCATCAGTCCCAACCTTTTTGGCACCAGGGGTTGGTTTCATGGAAGACAATTTTTTCATGGACTGGGGATGGGGGGAGTGTTGTCCTGGGTGGAGGGGGCTGTGGTGCGGAGCTCAGGCAGTGATGTGTGGCCCGTTTCCTAACAGGCCACTGACTGGTAATGGGCTTCAGCCTGGGGGTTGGGGGCCACAGCATTAAACAATAATTCCCCATTCTTCCCTACGCCAACCACTGGCAACCACCATTCTACTTTCTGTCTCTATGAATTTGACTACTCAAGGCACCTCATGTATGTGGAATCATAAAGTATTTGTCCTTTTGTGATTGGCTTATTTCAATTAGCATTTCAATTAGCATGAACTTAAGGGTTCAACCATGTTGTAGGATGTGTCCAAATTTCTTTCTTTTAAGGCTAAATAATATTCTATTATATGTATATATCACATTTTATTTATCTACTCATCTGTCAGTGGACACTTGGGCTGCTTCTACCTTTTGGCTACTGTGAATAATGCTGCTGTGAACATGGGTGTACAAATATCTGTTCAAGTCCCTGCATGATTTCTGTTGAGTATATAGCCAGAAGTAAAATTGGTAGATTATATACTTTTATGTTTAATTTTTTGGGGAACCACCATACTGTTTTCTATAGCAGCTGCACCATTTTGCATTGCCACCAGCAATGCACGAGGGTTCCAATTTGTTCATAACCTTGCCAATACTTATATTCTGTTTTTTGTTATATCCTTATAGATATGCGGTGGTATCTTGTTGTGGTTTTGTTTTGCATGTCCCTAATCATTAGTGATGTTGAGCATCTTTTCATGTGCTTATTAGCTATTTGCATACTTTCTTTGGAGAAATGTCTATTCAAATCCTTTGCCCATTTTCGAATTGGATGGTTCTTTTATTGTTGAGTTATACGAGTTCTATATATATTCTGGATATGTAAGATTTGTAGGTATTTTCTCACATACTGTGGGTTGTCTTTCACTCGTGATAGTGTCCTTGGATGCACAAAAGTATTTGATTTTGATAAAGTCCAACTTAATGTATTTTTTCTTTTGTTACCTTTGCTTTTATTGTCGTATCTAAGAAATCATTGCCAAAACTTGGTGTAATTGTCTTTGGATTCAGTTTTGTTCGGTCTAAGTTATGTCTGAAGTCATGCTGTATGCTTTCTGTTGGCTCAGGAGGCCTGTGATGCTGTGTTCCCAGCTTTAGTTCTGTTCAGGTATTGTTTGTTCTCTATAAAATTCCCTACCAACCTTGCCCTTTGCTGTCTGGTTAGCATGAGGTACAATTTGTACAGGAAGGACATGATCCAAGTGTACTTTCTCCCTCTACTCTCTTTTAACTATTTTTCATAATATTGAGTTGGTGTCCTAATACTTCCCAAGGTGCCCAATCAAGTTTTTGTCTTATGAGTATTATTTTACTGATTTGATGTTTAGTAACTTATTTACTTTCTAGCTTTCCTCCCAATATATGCCTTTAAAGGTATAAATGTCCTTAAGCATATATTTAGCTGTTTGTCACCATTTTTGATTTGCAGTATTTTTGTCATTCATTTCAATGCAATTTCTGTAGTCATTTTTTCTTGAAACTTTCGATTACTTTGAAGTGTATTTTGTTACCTATTTCTAGTTTAACTATATTGCATAAGCTCTATAACTTAGTTTCTTTGAAATCTATTGAGATTTGTTCTATGGCCTAGCATATGGTCAGATTTGATAGTCATGTTGTGTAAGGATTTTTTTTACAAAAATCATTCTATAATTAATAGAATTTTTGTTTGAGTTTTTGTTTGTGGTGTTAGTTATAGAGATACATATGTTATTCTCTCATTGTGATTGTAGATTTATGTACTTCTTGTAGTTCTTTCACACAGTTGTTTTCATTTTATCTATTGATTGATTGATTGATTGATTTTGGTTTCTCTATATACAGAATCATTTTTTACAGGTCAGAACTGTAGAAATAATGAGGAAGTGACGCTTATACGCAAAGCTGATTTGGAGAACCACAATAAAGATGGAGGCTTCTGGACTGTGATTGATGGGAAAGTGTATGACATAAAGGACTTCCAGACACAGTCATTAACAGGAAATAGTATTCTTGGTAAGGCCGCATTATTTTACTTCATGATTAAAAGTTGCAATGTGTTATTTAAAGTAGAGCATTTGGCTTATAGTAAAGGATCTCTTTAATACTGCTCCAGCCCGTACACATTTTAATGTATCTGTTGACTTTGGTGTCTTGTCTTATCAACAAATTCAGGCACATTTGAAGAATTTCTTATCATTATGCATTTTTCTTCCAATATTTGTTAGAACTTATTCCAAGTTCCAAGTTGGCCTAGATAACCCTGGGTGAGGGTTAGAGATCATTATACTCTGGTAACCCTCGCTGATGAGTTAACCTGCCTAACTTATTTTCTATTCACCATTTCTGTTATGGCTATCTAGGCAAATTGTACAGAAGTCATGTTGCTTTTTCCCTTTTTGTTTCAGCTCAGTTTGCAGGGGAAGACCCAGTGGTAGCTTTGGAAGCTGCTTTACAGTTTGAAGACACGCGGGATTCAATGCATGCATTTTGTGTTGGACAGTATTTGGAGGTGAGACTGTGTGCCCTGAGCGCACTGGGACATCAAGGGAGACCCTGTTTGTGTATTTGTGATAGGATGATTTTGGACCCTAAAGTACTGATATTTGAGACCTTTGTTGGGCATTTAGTGGTAAACATAAAGATCCTTTAGAAGTTGTTTCCTAAATGAATTTACATTTATTCTTAAGACTGATGATATGCTGGTCTTAAAAAATTATTTTAAAAATTATGAATTTGTAAGAAATATAGATACTTCCACATAAAAAAGAGGTTAAACTTTGATCTTTACAATTTTCTTGTAAGCTAATGTAGAAGTTTGGAATGGCTTACTATCTTGAGGTATATTTTTTTGGGAAGAACTATAAAGAAGTGTAATTCTTTTTTTTTGTTTGGTTTTTTTTTTTTTTTTTTTGAGACAGAGTCTCCCTTTGTTGCCCAGGCTAGAGTGAGTGCCGTGGCATCAGCCTAGCTCACAGCAACCTCACACTCCTGAGCTCAAGGAATCCTGCTGCCTCAGCCTCCCAAGTAGCTGGGACTACAGGCATGCATCACCATACCCGGCTAGTTTTTTCTATATATATTAGTTGGCCAATTAATTTCTTTCTGTTTATAGTAGAGACAGGGTCTCGCTCTTGCTCAGGCTGGTTTTGAACTCCTGACCTTGAGCAATCCGCCCGCCTCGGCCTCCCAAGAGCTAGGATTACAGGCGTGAGCCACAGCGCCCGGCCCGGACCATGAATTTTAAATCATAACTAGGCTGAAATACATCTTTATTAATCAAAGTAGGAACCATTACAATCAACACATTTTTGCCAATGAGAAATAAGTTTATTTCTGTAGTGTAAAAATCCGTGCTTTGGGATTTGATGAACTCTTGGAAAGCATTTTCTGCATCCTGCTGGTTGTGGAAGCATTTTCCCTGCAAAAAGTTGTTGAGGTGCTTGAAGAAGTGGTAGTTGGTTGGCAAGAGGTCAGGTGAATGTGGCAGATGAGGCAAAACTTCGTAGCCCAATTTATTCAATTTTTGAAGCATTGGTTGTGTAAAATGTGGTTGGGCATTGTCGTGAAGAAGAATTGGGCCCTTTCTCTTAACCAATGCTGGCTGCAGATGTTGCAGTTTTTGGTGTATCTCATCGATTTGCTGAGCATACGTCTGAGATTTAATGGTTTCACTGGGATTCAGAAAACCATAGTATATCAGACCAGCAGCAGATCACCAAACAGTGACCATGACCTTTTTTTGCTGCAAGTTTGGCTTTGAGAAGTGCTTTGGAACTTCTTCTCAGTCCATCTACTGAGCTGGTTGTTGCCGGTTGCCATATAAAATCCACTGTGCATCACACGTCACAATCCAATCAAGAAATGGTTTGTTTGGTATAAGAAAAGAAGATGACGCTTCAAAACGACGATTTTTTTGATTTTTGGTCAGCTCATGAGGCACCCAGTTATTGAGATTTTTCACCTATCCAATTTGCTTCAAATGCCAAACGACCATAGAACGGTCAGCGTTGAGTTCTTCAGCAGCTTCTTGTATAAGTTATAAGAGGATCAGCTTTGATGATTGCTCTTAATTGGTTGTTGTCAACTTCCCATGGCCGACCACCACTGTGCTCCTCATCTTCAAGGCGGCTTCTTTTTCTTCTTCTTCTTCTTTTTTTTTTTTTTTTTTTTTTTTTTTTT